TTTCATAGGTCTTCATGCACATGAATAAACGAAAATGTTACATTCTGTGTGACACCGTCTTTGAAACATCCATTTCATTTTCTAAGTTCTTAGGCAATGTATTTGAAAACTCTTTGTTATCGTTCAATGTAGGTTGTCTAGAGAAACGAATATTATTTGACGTTGACCGAAATAAATTATTATTAGTCGATTTTGATGTAATTTGACATGTCAAAGGTTGTTCATTGTCAACATATTGCAAATATTCATGTTTTTTAGCATTATCAGAAGAAAATATAGTCGGAATATTACGGTTGATAGGTTCCGAAATATGATGAGATGAATTACTCACATAATTCTGATCGACATAGTTAGGCTCCGGAATTGAACCTGGTAAAAAATGAGAATTTTCTTTTTGTTTAGGATTCATTACGGGCTCATTGATGTCTATATTTGGACAGGTAAAAGTATTATGTGCGTCGTTTACCCAGGACGCAGTACGAGAATGTGATGGACTAACCAAACGAGTGGAGCGCCGCTCTGATTCCTGAGCCGCTAGCTTTGCTTCCATCTCCAGTTCTTCTACTTGTTTAGCCTGTTGAATGAGCTTACGTTCATGTTCAAACCTTTTCTGGGCCAGCTGCATGGCGAACTCTTGCTCACGTTCAAACAGCTCACGTTCCCGTTCCATGCATCATCGAGCTAACTGTGCCTTTGCAGTCAACCTACGTGCCCTAACTGTGGACGATGACTGTAGCGACCCCGACAAATGCACTTTAGAACTGGAGCCATATTTCTTGCGTTCGGTGCTTAACGTAGGACTCTGAATAGGCGTAATAAGTTCAGGGTGGCTTGCCGCGAGCATCAACGTGGGTTCGGCTAAAACGTGGTCAATTTCTGGTGACCGACCGAACCCACCCGCGACGATCATATCAGACTCCGAACATACTTCGCTAGTATCCTTCGCTTGCGTATTTTTTTGTGTCTTCAATCCCGTTTGCATGATTGTCCTCGTAAATACTTCGGCGATAGAGGACCAAACTGTGAAGGTCGGCTCGAAGACCAAATGTGAAGGTCGGCTCGAAGACCAAAATGTAAAGGTCGGCTCGAAGACCAAAATGTAAAGGTCGGCTCGAAGGACCAAATGTGAAGGATGGAGATCAAGATGACGAGCAAAAAGTAAAACGGCACCGTTGTAGTTGATAGAATATTTTTGTATTAAATTGACTTATGTCATATAGAAAAAATATAATATTATAAAAAAACATAGATAATAAAAAAGGTATAAAAATAGTTTCCAACAGGACCAAAATTATCTACCGTTGGTCCCATGCTAATAATAGGTATAATTTTTATTTCAGAATTGCTTCAAAATTTTTTTATGACTATGCATGTCATTGACAGTGTACATCAATGTTTATTTGCAACATGGTACATACATATTATGATAAGGTAGATTGACATAAAAATCACTGTACGCACATTTTCACAGCTGAGCATACATACAGCGATAAGTACGCGAATAATTTTGATATAGGTACCATATGACTCAAAGCGTGTTACATGCCACTATACTTGGGTTCTCTACTACAGTAATTGTGCGGGAAAGGTGATTAGCAATGCGGTCAACTGCAAGGAGGAAATCATCGCGGTATATACCTATCTGTTGAATTCAGCTCGATTGTTAGCTGAACTAATTGAGTCTTTCAATTCGTTAATACCTACTTATACGTTAATAACATTTCTAGTCTTACAGTTACCCAGAGGGCTAACGAGCGTTCAGTTTATTACCATTAGCGCAAGCAGAAATACTCTTTCATTTTTATCAATAAAAGCCCCTATTAGGTATATTGTTATAATTAGTATCTACCTACCGTAAAATAAATTTAACTACCTACAAACTATTATATACTTCGGTGGAGGATGTATAAGAAGGAGAACTGGAAGTAAAACCAGCGTCATAACTGTAGGTTTTCTTTCGAGAAGAGACCCGACCTAGTGAGATGAATATGATAATTAGGTACCTATTACATATGTAAAAAGTTGTATTGTAGATTAGCTGTGCATACAAATAGTATTCGCAAAACTCAGTTAACAAATTTGTCCATTGTAATAGATCCAAATAGGGTCGCTGAATTTAGTTCGCATGTTTCTTACGAACTAAATGCTATGTATTTACCTAAAGATGACTGGTATATAAATTATTATAATGTAAGCATTTAAATGCTCACTATCGTAAGTAAACAAGTCCAATAGAGCTTTTCCCATTATTTATAGGTTATTCATTAGTGGTAATTTTAGGTACTAATTTATTAATTTATTTCATCCTTACTAATATTATAAAAGCGAAAATAACGCTGTCTGCCATCTGTGTCTTGTTTTCACGCTGAAACTACGGAATAATTTAAATGAAATTTAGTACACTGATAGTCTAGACCCTAAGGAAGGATGTAGTACTTTTTAATAATACATAAAAAGGAAGGATTGAAAGAGATTGAAAGGGAAGATGGAAGTTGGACAGAAGTATCGTCACTTTTAAAGCTAGAAGCCTCATACTTATTTTTATAAAATAAATGAAGTCAAAGTTACATCCTACACATTACTTTTATTATATACTAACTTTTACCCATGATTTTTCGTAATTACATTCGCAATACATGGGCTATAACAATATACAAATATCAAGGGTATGGCTAATGTTAATATGTAGTAATAACTGTTACCTTTTACACTACATTACATTACATTAGAACAAATATGGTATGCTAACCTCTCTGTCAGCTGTCACTCAATAACGGAATATCCCATTTAGGGTATATTTTTTTGCTAGATAATAATGGAATGGTGCATCAGCTTTTAATAATTTACCAGCGTTAATGGTAAAAACTGGCAGGGTCCTAGTGGACGATGACGGCATAAGCATGAAGTCAAGTCACATACTTTAAGTAAATACATAAATATTCTGCTGATTCAAGAAAACTATGTCTTATTTTACATTTCTTTGAAATCGTTTTTTCAATTTGTATGTTGTATATTATATTACAAATATATATATATAATATATTTTAGTGTTGGCAATTTTGTTCATTTGGGATGAAATGTCTACTTGCATCTGGGCAGAGCGCCACTCTCTGGTTGTTTAAAATTTGTTTTGGTTATTTCCCGAGGACCCTGCAAGAGCGAGGCCACGGGCGATTGCCCTGTTCGCCATCCCCTATGGCCGCCACTGCATGGTACATTGTTTTATTTTTTTATTATGATAATGAAATGGTGCATTCGCCTGCGCTAACGGTTTACGCTGGCGGGGCAACATGAGGTCAGGTTAGTTAGCCCATTATGACAAGTTCACCAGGAATTTATCACGATGGTTTCCAGGGGGAACCGCGTGGAGGTCAACCTGACATGATACATTGCTAGTAATGGGGTTATGAGTCCACATTACTAACGATCCCCCCCCCCCCCCCATGGTACATTGTGAGCAAAGAGGTGACTAATTTCCTTTACTAACAACCCCTTTACTCCTAAATGAAATTATTAGGTGATAGCTGACACAGCGGGTTACGCCATTAAAAGACATTTTCCTTGACTCTTTGCACTCTAGATGATCGAAACAGTAAATTTAATTATAAATGCAAATAAATTACAGTAATGTAAATAGAGAGCAATATTTATTTAGTTTGTGGTACAGTAAATACTCAGTTGTTTATATATTAGATAACAGGGGACGGGTGCTTACATGATAACAGATATTATACTTATACACAATGTTTTTGTCAGTCACAAATGTGCAGATGAATGTCATTGTTGAGCATGTTTAATTTATTAAACGTTTTTATAAGACATGTATCTAAACAAAATGTTCTCGGTAAACTTCAATATTCATCGCAAGTATTACCACAGTTTTCTTCGGTGAGTTGCGTCTGTCAAATTTTTTAGACCTTTTGTGTAATGTTTATTAAAATAATATTATTACAAAACCGCGTGGAGGTCGACCATGATATGCTAGCATGCTACAATGCCAGCAATGGAGCCAATAGTTTACATTGTTATTTATTCGCTCCTCTTTATATAAATTGAACCATTTTTACTGTATATACTATTATAGGAGAAATTCAACAAGACGCGGAAAGAGTTCTCCTTGGTCGAGTTAAAAGACATAGATTATTTCAAAAAAATACTTGACAAGAACCGAGTATTGACAGAAGAAAGCGATGTTTTGCCATTTAACATCGACTGGTTTAAAAATTGCAGAGGTATGTACTGACACCATTATTCATTGACGTAAGCATATGGGATAATAAGTTATATGTGTAGATAATCATTAATGTATACGTACAATGTGAGTTATGGAAGTGGATGACGTAAGATATTTAAGTATGTAATGTGTGAGTGGTAGGAATACTGTCAATATGAAACTGTGCCTGCGTTACCTGTGTCTAAATGGCTGAATGGTTCCAATGAAATTTGGCATAAAGATAGACTGTATCTCGAAGACGGAAAACGAAGTCGCGGGCGAACAGGTGGTTTTATATAAAGAAACAAATTAGTTAGGTATAAGATATAATATTAAACATATTTCTAAATGTTAAAAACTCATAATAAATATAAGGTATTTTATCAGGTCAATCGAAGGTCGTATTAAAACCAAAGAGCGCTCAAGAAGTATCTCAAATTTTGTCTTACTGCAATCAGCGGAAGATTGCCGTTTGTCCTCAAGGTGGAAATACTGGTGTAGTAGGCGGAGGGGTTCCAATGTTTGATGAAGTAATACTCAATTTATCGTTAATGAATCAGATTATCAGTTTGGATGATATATCAGGTATTATTCCTAATATATAATAATTACATATATATGATTTTTAGAGTATACAAAATTTACGTTTAGATTTAAAAAAAGAATACTATTTTTAATAAATTAAATTTTTTATGTAACTAGAAAGATTTGTGACGGTGCTTCTGGCGGTGGTATTTTATCAGCAGGACTATAAATAATTAAATATTATTTTTATAAATAACAATATAATGGCGTTATCCATAGAAATATCACATTAATTCTAAAGTACCTATGTTTGTCAATATGTTTGTTACCTTTTGATTTGATTTAAAGAATTCAATATGAAGATCGATTTTATCACAAGATCTTCGATTTGTATGTCGAATCTTCAGTAGACGAGTTTTTCCAAATATTGTTATTTTTTTTTGTTGAAATATTAAATTAATTTCATTTATATAGGAACTTTGGTATGTGAGGCGGGATGTATCCTAGAAAATTTGGATAACTATGTCCGTGAGCACGAGCTCATAATGCCTCTGGACCTTGGTGCTAAAGGCACCTGCCATATCGGTGGGAATGTCAGCACAAATGCTGGCGGGATTCGGCTATTGCGCTATGGAAACCTGCATGGATCTATATTGGGTGTCGAAGCTGTATGTATTCAATTTGTTTAATTATTATTATATTTGAATATTGTTTATCTACAGTACAGTACAGTGCTCTCATATGAACCCGCTTATAACGCAGAATAATAAAAGTTGCACATCCGCATAAAATGTAGGTATAATCCATACAGGAGACTGTTACTACTATAGTACAATAAGATTTCTATTATTTTTGCGGAAATAATATATAATTATGTAATTACATTCAAAAAATTAATTTCCAGGTAAAAGCTGACGGTACAATCGTAAATTGTCTGAAGACACTAAAAAAAGACAATACAGGGTACCATCTGAAACATTTGTTCATAGGATCTGAGGGTACACTGGGAGTTGTAACAAAAGTGGCCATTCACTGCCCGGTTAAACCAAAATCGGTTACTGTGGGTCTTTTTGGTAAGAAGAAAAATATTTATATCATAAATATTCGTAATGGCTTAATCATTTATTGAATTCAAAGTGATAACGAAATCATACAAATACCAGAGGGAGGCAGATCTAGAGATAAAATTTGTTTGACTTATTTTGGCCGCAGTTTGCTAAAACATAAAAGGCAATGCATGAGACGTATCATGGAAGCCATAACTTATTTTGTAATTTCCGTGGAGCTGATTATATATGTATTTAGTGACAAGTTGGTTTTGTTTTAGGACTTCATAATTTTGAAAATATTTTAAAGCTGTACAGAAGTGCTAAATCCTCCCTGGGCGAAATATTATCTGCATTTGAAATGTGTGATCGTGATGCATTAAACAGCAGTTCAAAATATCTCAAGCAAAGGTAAGTTCCCACATTAATATACCAAAAATTTTTTTTTTAATTGTCCAAAAATGTAAAAATATCTTTATATCCAAAATTAATTAATTAATTTCATAATGAGGGAAATAAAGAAAAAACTAAATATATTATAAAATCACTTGATATTTTTTGTATTAAAAAAAAATAACCATATGTTATTATCCCAAATCAAGTAGGCTTTAATAGATACATATATCTTTAGCCCATGTGGCAGGAGTGGAGTCCGCCGCCATCTCTCACGTTTATTTGGTTTGTTATCGGTGTTTCCATCACCAGATAATAAGATAGAAATATGAATTGAACAAAGTGTCTCGATTTATTTAGAGAGAATATTTTAAATCTATAGCACTGACAATATTATCTGATTACATTAATAATGAGTGCGTAGCGACTTCTATGTTGATTATCGCATGCCTCTTACTTGTTATACTGTAATTATTTATATAAAAAAAACATCTATTAAAAAGAGCAACACACAAGTTTCTTGCTCATTCTTCTTGTGATGAATCTGCATTCCGAATGAGTGGTAGAATCAAAATATGACTATTCAAAAGTGCTTGTAATGAGTTTATTTGAATAAAGATTATTTCTATTTCTATTTCTAGAAAGTAGGTCAGCTGGACTAATAAATAACACTCTGAATATAATGCGAATGTTCTTTTCAGTCTTCCGATATCAGAATATCCATTTTATGTGTTAGTTGAAACCCATGGGAGCAATGAAACACATGACGAGGAGAAACTAACTCAATTTTTATCTAAAGAGATGGAGAGTGGGCTCGTATTAGATGGCACTGTTACTTCCGAGCCAGGAAAAATGCAGGTTGATGCAATAAGCTACAGTTTCAGTTTCTAATTCTTACTTATAATAACTTTTACACCGTGGCATATCCATACTTTATTATTTGTAAATTATAGCTTTCATTTAATAAAATGTTCATTATATTGATTTCATATGGCTAACTGCACAGTTTATGTTATCGATTCAACTCATATCTACTGACCCTAGTGTCAAATCGACCGAAATATACGCGCGTGACGAGAGACAATTACCTACGAGTATATTGTTCTTAGTAGCGTGGTGCCTGATAGAGCTGATAACATTCTTGATAATAATTATTTTAAAAGAACTGTTTCCTCACGGAGTATAAAATCATAGTATTTTTTTCAAATCGAAGAGTAAACTCAAGTTTGGACATTGACTAGGCACACTATATTATAAGCTATAAGTACTTAAAGAAAAACAGCACCACCACTCATTATACGATCGTTTATGTGGATTAATGTGACATGTAACGTGACATGATTTTATAATTTCACTGCCCTATCAGATCTTTGAAACCAGAACATAACTTACAATGCAGCAGCTTATTGACAGAAAAGGAGACACAAAAAATGTTAAACACTCTCAAAGTCTACCTCTGTAAGTCAATTAGACATTCAGTATGTTTTCTATTAAAACGTACGTTTTTTCTATTAACGCGTACGAGCTTAAATCTTATAAAACTATAGATTCTCGCAGTAATAAAACCTTGCTTAAGTTATGGACGAATGTGTAGGTATTCATAGTACTTTTTTTAGGCATGATAATGGAATGGTGCACCCGCCTGCGCTAACGGTATACGGAAGGATGATAAGATGAGCATCAGGTCAGGTCAGTTAGCCCATCGTGACAATTTAATCAGCAATTTATCACGATGGTTTCCAGGGGTAACCACGTGGAGGTCAACCTGACATGATACATAGCTAGCAATGGAGTCAACAGTCCTCGGTATTCATAGTACTAGTCTAGGAAGTTTCATAGTGTCAGGCAAAGTAGACTTACTGAAGCTGGCATTAATTTTCTTTATGTCATATCATTTTGGGTCAGAATAAAGCTTTTTCTTGCCTTTCATTTCTATTGGCAGCAATCTTGTTATTCACTGCTTTCTTTCCATATCACTAATTACTCAGTTCAACCATTTCTTTTTAGGCTTCCTTTGCTCTTATGTTATATACTATATGTAGTTATATCTATTCTACAGAACATTTGGAGTTTCCGTGAAAGTATACCCGCCGCAGATTTAGCAGGTGCTTATCTACATACGTACGATGTGTCGCTCCCTCAGAATTGTTATTACGAGATTGTACCATTGTTGCGCGAGAGATTAGGCAATAAGGCCAGAGTAAGCGGGTTTGGACACATTGGTATGTGTGTACATTAATCGTTATGTTTCTTCTTTATTTCATATAGATATCAAAACTTATATAAGACTGTTATATAAGTTTTGATATCTAAATAAATAGATAAATTTATGATTAATCTTTTGTAATGTTACGAAGATGGGACAGCAATCATAACACCCTTTATATGACAACTTACTTAGCCAGTGACACCACGGTTCATCAATGCAAATAATGCAAAGAAAGTCAAAATCAACGATATCAATATAATCTATGTCAAATGTCCTTTACTACTTGTATATTTTGTAGGTGACGGCAACATTCACATCGACGTAATAGTTCCAGAATACAGTACGGAAGTAACGAACCTTATTGAGCCTTTTCTTTTTGAAGAGGTGGCTAAAAGGAATGGTTCCGTGAGCGCTGAACATGGATTAGGATGCCGTAAGCCACATTTGATACACTACAGTGTAGACGAGACTGCGGTACAATTGATGCGTGATTTGAAGAACGTGATGGATCCAAACGGTATCCTGAACCCATATAAGGTTCTTCCTGACGATGGTGTATAATAAATGATGTATTTGAACTAATCTTGAATATTATTTATTTAATTAGAAATGTCAATAATTTGGTATACCTACACCTAATTTGATATAACCTACTTAGAAACAAAAAAGCTATCAAAAACGTAAACCAACTTTTAAGAGCTCTCTTTTTATTCCAATTAGGTTTTTCAGCTAAGTGTATATCTTTTAAAGTTCAGAATAAAAAAAAGTTAAATGGAATCTGTTGTAGCGCTGTCCTTCTGTTATATTACAGCTATGTAGACTGAATACGACTTTAACTACTAATTCTTAAAGTAAAAGCTCAGTAGTCTGTATAAAATTCAGTTGTCGGAAAAAAGTGTTTAAATATTTTAAAGTATCATAATGAATACGAACAATATTTAAAAAAAGTATTATTTCATTACTCAGCGACTGATGATTAACTTTAATTATCAAAAAAGTTCTTATAAATACTCCATCTCATGGAATGTCTATAAAAATGAAATCTACTTTGAAATCAAGTTGATTTAATATACCTAGTCTAAAATGACATGACACTGATGATACTTTTATATAATTATAATCCGTGGCTGAACTGAATACTGCTTGTTTGTTTCCTAATTTCATTAATCAGTGGTTCTATTATGAGTCACAACGTCATTTTGTGCGCCTGCGCCCGAACTATCATAGTTCGGGACACAGAGCGCTCAATTTGCCTCTTCTAATAAAACTAGTTCGTTCGTTAGCTTCATACTCGAGTTAGAAAGACAGGTCAACCTGTAGATCAATAGGTATTCTTATTTTGAAGCAAATCATATTAGCGTCTTGAAAATATACATTGGCTTAATTCTTTACACCGCTAAAAACGTACGTTCCTATTTCTTAGGACGTCCCACGTCCGACTTATTGACCCCTAAATTACATATACATATAAGTATAAAATAATATTCTTATTTTTTCATAATATTTCATTATAAGAATCATAGAGGGGAGATTAGAGACTACATGGTATTTCGGCTCTGGAAGCTCTCTTCCGAACTAGTTCTTAACCGACTACACAAGACTATAGTTAGTAGTAGCACAGATAACATAATATTACATAGTAGTAGCACAGATAAGTAGTAGTATGTTGCGAGATGTCATTCTATTTAGACGTACGATACATAGGAAAATAAACATAATAGTGCACTAAATATTAGATATTGAAGAAATTAATTTAATTTAACTTAAATTGTTGATTAACACAATGTTAAGTCCAATTAAATCAATATTATTGTCTATTAACCGGCCAACAATATACGAACAAGTTAAATATTTATCGCAAGTGTTGCCACAGTTATCTGCTGTAAGTACGATTTAGCTATTTATTATAATATTTGTGTTTAAATGTATTTCTTTTTTTGTCGATTTTTATATTGTATAATATATTTATAAAAAATAAGATATTTGATCTTATCTATCAGTTGTCTAGTACATGCAATATAATCTGTACTTAGTTTGGGCTAAATAATTACTCTATATACCTAATAAAAAATATTGTTTATATATTCACTTGCGAGGTAGGCAGATGGTCCATTCAGCTACAAACTATTCCTATGACAGAATACTACCTAAGTACTATGTATTTTAAATTTATTTCATTTATGTACACCATAAAATATATCATTCATTTAAGTAGGTAAATACCTAATAATAAAAATGTTTAAGATAGTTATAAATGTTAATACGTAACATTTTTACTATAATATTAATTTAGCTTATGTTAACATACAAGGACATAAGGTATACATAGGTACATGTTTTTTTTTCTTTTAAATACATACATAATATATGCATTAAAAACCCTAAACCGAAACGAACAATCATACTCACGAATACATTTGTTTGTACCGAGCGCGTAATAGAACCCGCGACCATCGGAAGAAAGACTGCTGGACCACCGAGGCTATAAATTGGCATTTTGATATATATTTAGATATTTCCGTTATACATATACATCTTATACCGTCTGATAGATCAATAAGGAAAATATTTTTTACGACTTGATTTTTAACATTTTACTTAATTAAATTATATTTTTTTTTTACTAGGATAAGTACAACGTAAAACGAAAAGCTTTCGCTTCAATTCAAGCACAAGATGTTGATTATTTTAAATCGGTACTTGGCGAAGAGAGGGTGCTTACCGAGCAATCCGATATTTTACCATTCAACATTGATTGGATAAAAAATTGTAGAGGTAAAGGCATACATATTCTGTACCTACTTGTATAAGTCTTACATTTTTTACGGTTGTTGTTTTATATGGTTCTGTACGATGATGTTATTGTTTCTTCCGGCAACGTACAACAGTTGTAAAGTGGCAATATGTTGTACTAAAAAACAGAACAGAAGGAACAAAAATCTTAATATCGGTTATTAAGTAACATTTTTAACAGTATTGTCCAATTCTATTAATTATTGATTAGATACTTTATCTATTAATGTAGTAAAATGATTCAGATTCTTACTATAATAAATGCGTCTAACTGTCTGTCTGACTAACTTTTCAAATCCTGACGAAAAAGAAGGAGGTTCTATAAGTATGATGTGTCTGTGTGTCTGCCTATGACATTGTATAGTCCAGTCTAAGCTTAAATTAGGTAAGAATCTCGGAATTCGAGATACCCGGCTATAAATCTGTAAATACTTGTATATTGACATCCTAAAATTTGTCTCAAAACCTACATAGGTTGCCTGGAAGAGATTGCATAAGCGATAGCCGCCTTTTGTACCCTCTTAATTTTAATTACTCTATTCGATTTTATTAATGTAATTTTCCTGGTGCAATAAAATGTATATAAATAAATAAATAAAAAAATATATAATAGTTAACAAAAATTGACAAATATTTATAATCATTGATTTATCGATAGTTTTTCAACTACATATGGCGCGTTTTCGACCGGAGACACCGGTTGACCTGAAGTGATGATGTGACCGCGCGCTCTCCGCCTTGTCTCTCGAAATCGCTTCACCGTATAAAAAAAATTTAAACCAAAATTATAGAGAATTTTGTATTCTACAATATTGATAATAAATACAAATAGTAAAAAACCCATAGGAAATGAGATATTTACAAAATAATCGATTTTTGTGACTTTTAACCTTGAAATTTAATAGTTGCGCACACCCTACCATATGCAGGTTTTGAGACTTTTTTTAGGGTGTCCACATAGAAGTATTTACAGATTTACAGCTGGGTATCTCGAATTCCGAGGTAAACTTAATAAAATGACTGGACTATGTAATTCCAAAACGAATGGACTTATTATATTCCTTTTTTTAAAAGCTGACATGATCATGATGATTTTATAGGTACAATTTATTAGACATCTTTCTTGATTAGTGTTATACTTTTTTGTAATTATACCACACAGGAAGGTAAACGGCTGGACGGACGTAATAAAATTTGACGTGAAGGTAAATTGGATCACAAGGACAGAATAATTTTTTATCTTAAAAAAGTAGTCAACGTTGAAAATTACAGCTAGGCACAATATCAAATAAATAGTCAGATCTAAATATACCATTAGTCACTATTGATGACTAGATTTTCTTGTTAATACAGAAGACATTGTTTTCTATGAAAAATCTATTGTATAGTTTTTTTCAGGTCAATCTTCAATAGTGCTAAAACCTAAAACTACACAGGAGGTTTCAAATATTTTGTCATATTGCAATAAGAGAAAACTAGCAGTTTGTCCTCAGGGCGGAAATACTGGTCTCGTTGGCGGTTCTGTGCCAGTGTTCGATGAGATAGTGATCAACTTTATGCTGATGAATAAAGTCATTAGTTTAGACGACGTTTCAGGTATACAATTAGTGCCTAGAAGTATTCCTAATTCATTCACAGCGAAAAAAATACCGTCTATCAACAACACCAATTTTTTAACTTTTAAGGCGTGTACAGTTACTCTTTTTTAAGGTTTTTCTTATTAATATACAGAAGATATACAGATGACTAAGAAATTTAACTAACTAAAATTTTAGTTAAATTTCTTAGTCTTCTGACACACTGAACATTCGGTGTGTCATTACTAACATAAATAAACTATATACATATGTATCTAGTCAAGTAGGTAGTAGTATAGGTATATTTAATAAAAGTATACCTAACTATATAATTAAATATAATTTTACGTGGCTATATGTAGAGTTTCCTATAGTCGCAATAATATCATGGAAATAATATGTAGGTTATTATGATAACCTACATATTATATCATGATATTATTAAAAATAAATTCTTTTAATATTTACTCAACAATATCATAACATTGTTGAGTAAATATTAAAATAATTTATTACATTTAATTGTAAATAGGTATGTATTACATTACATTGTTTCTAGGAGCGTTGATATGCGAAGCGGGGTGTATTTTAGAGAATTTGGACAACCATGTGCGCGAGCATGGTCTCATTATGCCTCTGGATCTTGGTGCTAAAGGCACCTGCCATATCGGCGGAAACGTTAGCACCAATGCTGGCGGTATTCGGCTGCTGCGCTATGGAAATCTCCACGGGTCTATATTAGGAGTCGAAGCTGTAAGATAATGTTTTCATTAAAATCTTCTAGATATTATTATGAAATAAGCATATCTGTCTCTTACTTACGTGGTATTTGTTGAGAAACTTATTTAATAGTTCACTCGAATTAAAATATAAAACAAAATAAGTTTATACATGTCATCTTATTGTCTACGATTCTATTCTACTATTAGACGATTCGTTTACCAATAATTTTCGTATATGTATGATTAGTTTCAATATTATGTACCTATATGTTTCATTCTGCATATTAATCAAGTAATCCATTTCAACAATTTCATAACAAAATTATATAAGATAAACTTATTGTTATTTTTGTCGTCTGTACTCTGCACAGTTCAAAGTCACCTAAAAACTATGTATACATATATCTTATTGGTATGTACAGTATATAGGTATGCAGATTATATTTCTAGATAAATGTAGGCAAATATTTTTTTTATATTATGATGGTGGCAATCAAGCATACATATTTACAGTTTCCGATGTGGAATTTTAACTATGACTAAAATGTATCTCTGATTTCATAATTATCAGTATATTTGCTGCTTGTGATAGCTTATAATGCTTATATACTGTAATTAAGTTTTATTATGAATATTAATAGATAAATTATTGTAGTTAAGTAGTGGGTTTACCTCTCTGTGATGTTATTACATCACCGTTACACTAAAAATATTATTATGTATTTATATAATATAATAAAAATAATAATATTTTTAGTGTAACAACATGTACAATGTACAAAATACTAAGTAATAAGTAATCGCGACATTGTCTGCTCTTTTGGAAATAAAAAGGTTTACCAACATTGAAAACAGAATTTGATCAAAAATTCCAATCCAAACGCAACGTAAGCCATTTTGCAAACAAAGTAGTTTTATATTTTTATTAAAGATAGATATTTCATTAAAATTCATACAAATTATAGACAGAAATAGACCATGCTAGTACATAATATACGAGTATACGGTACTAAGATTCAAATGTACTACTGTTATATAATGAGGTTACCTGGAAGAGATCGGTAGGTATTTAGCGATAAGGCCTCCCAATGTTGCCTCTGTCGATCTTGCATTTCGTAATAATGATTTTCTATTTGTATATATTATTATTATTGCTAAATAATAACCATACAAATGTTATAAATGTTAAAGTGTATCTGTCCTTTTGTCATATTTTTCCAAATTAATAGCTAACCAAATGTTAGTAAAATTTTATTTCATCCGCCTTATAATAGCTATTTAATAATATTATTGCTTTTAAGGTAAAAGCCGATGGAACTGTAATTGACTGCTTAAAAGCCCTTAAAAAAGACAACACCGGTTATCACCTTAAACATTTATTTATAGGCTCTGAAGGAACTTTGGGACTAGTAACTAAAGTAGCTATTCATTGTCCCGTCAAGCCTAAGGCCGTTACTGTTGGCTTTTTTGGTAAGATATCTTTTAAATAAATAAGAAATCTAAATTAAATATTTAAAAAGAAATTATAATATTTTATGTCAACTTATATACTAATATTGCAGGTGTTGAAAATTTTAATAGCATTCTGAAGTTATACAAAAGTGCTAAATCTTCCTTGGGCGAAATATTATCAGCTTTTGAAATGGCAGACAACCAAGCAATTAGTACCACATCAACAAATCTGAAGCTCCCGTAAGTGAGTAGGCAATTCATAAAAAAAAATTTTTGTTGTAATGAAACGAGCCGGCCTATGCCTAATATCTGCACTGAAGTTAAGGGTTGAGAGGTCAGGGGTGTGGGGGTTATCTATTTTTATCATTGAATTGGAATTATCATGCAATGAAAATCAATATACCATTTTGTTTGTATAAAACTTAAACACATAGGACAATCGTCATAATCATGAATCTGCTACTATTGGTAGTTAAGTGGCGTAGCTTAGCGTTATGCTAAATCCCTCTCTTATTATAACGATATCAGTATATCGACAGCCAAGTAGTGTGGCGTCATTATGTTATGAATGTATAATCCTTCGTATGCCTTTATTACAGAAATCCAATATCAGATTATCCATTTTACGTACTGGTCGAAACCCAAGGAAGTAACGAAATCCACGATGAGGAGAAATTGACAAAGTTCTTATCAAAGGAGATGGAGAGCGGTCTCATATTAGATGGAACAGTTACTTCTGAACTGACAAAAATGAGCGTAAGTACCACCAAGTACATGGTCGCGCTAAAGAAGATTGTACGTAATTAAATATACCTAATAGATACCGACCTCATACTTATAGGCGCAATCCATAGGACAGTGTGGTGGAATTTGATATATATGTCAACACATATATATCAAATTACGTTGATCTATAAGAAATTCGAAAATTTCTTCATTTTTAATTAAAATCTTGTTAAGTTTCCTTTTTTTATTAAAAATATTTTAATAAAAACAATGGGTGAAGTGTGACGCTCTTGATGTTTTAGGTTCAAAATTGAACATTGTAGATGTGATAGTGTTACTGGATTTTTTTTTATTATGCCATCCAAACGAAATTCAATGTTCGAGCGGGACGTAGTAAGTGTATATTTTTCTTCTTGTAGGCGATTTGGACTTTACGGGAGAGCATATCAGGAGCTGGACTTGGCCGTGGCTACGTGTTTAAGTATGATGTTTCGCTTCCACAACAAAATTATTATGATTTAGTCCCAATATTGAGAGAGAGGCTGGGCGATAAAGCCATTGCAGTCTATGGATATGGACATGTTGGTGCGTTTTTATAATATGTTATAATTACCTTTCTTAAGCGACGTGCCTAGGAGTATAAAGTATGTAATATTGCTAGTAGTTTACCCTCACCAAGTGTGACCAAGTTCGTCTAATTAATAATTATGACCATTAAATAATATATTCGATCGAAATTGTGTTGCGTTTCCGTCTATATGAAAAGTGCTTATTTTACCAATATTTACAGCATCTGTGCAAAACAATGCAACACATTAGATCTCTAGCTAACGTTTAATCTATTTCTTTGGTTTTTATTTCTAGGTACCTAATGTGACATTTGCAGCAGCGAATGATGATGATATAATTCAAGTTTTAATCCCCTTAGTCATAAGAACTAAAACCTAACTAGAGCTTTTTGTCCCTTGCTCTGAAATTAAGAAAGTTTAACGTTTGTATCAAGTATGACTATAACCACTATTACTAGATGTTTGAAATATTTACATTTCAGGTGATGGCAACATACACATTAACATCACGGTACCAGAGTACTCCAAGCAAATCGCATCCCTTATGGAGCCATTCATTTTTGAAGAAGTTTCCAAGCTAAAAGGATCCATAAGCGCTGAACATGGAATTGGCTTCCGGAAGCCTGAATACCTACATTACAGCAAAGACGAGACGGCACTGCAGATGATGAGAGATTTGAAAAACTTGATGGATCCAAATGGAATTCTCAATCCGTACAAAGTATTGCCTGAAGTGAATGTATAAAAGACTACGAATCTTTTTTTTATCCAATGATATTACATCATGAGAAGTTTCTATGGCTCTACTGAAACATCGATAAAATATAAAGATTAAGTTTTTTTTCAATTGTATGGGTCGGTAAGAATATACATAAATGAAACTCAGTGAACATGATCAAGATTTTCTGGGTTAATATATATAAATATTTTGGTATCCGATAGAAGTATGCTCTGTATCTGATAGAATCATGATTTTTTACATTTACTGAGTATAACTACATAGTAATTTGTAACCAGTAGATATTAGCTATGATGAAGGCGAAAATTAAGTAGTCATGATAAATATTAAGTATTCTATGTAACTAGTAAAACCAACCTTAATATTAATGTAAAGTTTGTACTAATAATGTAAATTATATCTATAAGTTTATATGATTAGTACAAACTTAATTATCTACGACAGGGCTAACTGTTAAATAAAACAATATTTTTAGTTAAATGACTTTTATTAAAATATCCATTTATTCTTATAACATTCATAATATCACTGCAACAAAAATACAATGGAATATTATAAACATTTTTCTAATTGCTTTAAATAAATAAAACTGTATTACATATATATTCTAAAATGTGTATTTCATAAGCACTTTTATCAACACCATGGTCTATGTAATTATTATTAATATTATTGCTATTGATGAGTTGATGGTATCACTATAGATAATATTATATTTTAATTGCAATTAGGTCTATTAAAATACATCTCAGCACTCAAAACTATCATTCTATCTCACTCATTACTAATAGGCAAATTTTAATCACAACAAATTTTAACATAAACTGTAACAAATTTGGCATTGTAGTTATTTCGGTGACTCTTTCTTATAATTGTAAGGAAATGCCATAAATTCTGTTGTCTTCAGTTGGGAATCACCAACTGCACATAATTAAGAGTTCTCTGCTAAATGAAATCATCATCAATTATTTATACAAGATTATTGCATACTATTTCAAACAGATTGCTAAAAGAGATTACTAAAAAACACTTGGATAGTGAATCCAAAAAGAAGTCACATCTTTGTCTTATTTGTCAGCCTTTTAAACAATAAAATACAGATAAATACAACTATCATTGTATTTGAATAATAGATCCAATGGAATGGAAGGTGTTGAAAAACACAAACGTTAGAACTCTCGACATTTTAATATGTGAGAAAAAAAAACATTACTTTTCATATTATGAACCAAGAGACTGTGTTGCCAAATCCAATAGTGCAAATAATTTAGTTTTCATGTAAAAATTATCTGGCGACGCGTATAGTAAAATAATTGAAACTTTGTTTGTTGTCTTTGTAAAAGGAAATGCATGTTGGACTCGTCGACAAGTCGGATAATAACGGTAGTACGACCACTATTACTACAATCATTTTAATTTACTTTGAAACACAACAAGCGCCCGTCTGTTTTTAAAAAATGGTTCTATCTCACAGTTCGAACACGAAATGGCAAAATAAATTTCAAATCCCAAATTTATTCCAAAAAGCAATATGTACATCATTACATTCAATAAAAATGCATATTTGTGTGATCAATAATATGTATCTTAAAATAAAAAAGAAACGACTGACTATTACGAAAACTTCAATGGTATATATAGTTTTGTTTATATATATATATATAGTTTTGTTGATACAGGGTAGCATAAATTTGAGTTATTTCACAGTGTGAACAAGCATTTCATTTTTTTTATAGCTTGATTAAAGAAGATTAATACTTAATTAATATTAATGTAATTTATTGCAAATCTAAATCACACAAATTTACTTTGTGGCAAATTTAAAAAAATATGTTCAAGATAAAATCATGTTCTTAATTTTTAAATTGTCCCTGAATATTTCTTGCATGCAATTCACTCATTCCAAATCACTTACATTCATAATAAATTAAAGAACTGATATACAAATTAATATTGATATTCAGACATGGGTTTAGGTCAATATTACCGTTAGGTACTGTTACAAATCACGACTGGTAAGTTTTATTTATCATATTGAGTTGAAATACAGTAAAAATGTAAGTATACACTATTTCATTCAAATATGATATATTTAAGGTAAGTATTTTAGCGAAATTTAATTGATAATAATAATTGTAATTTACAACAATAACTTGAGTTCTGTATACTAGACTAAGAAAAATGTATAAGAGGAAATGTAATAATTAATTATACAAGTAATTTGCTTGATTTTCTTGTGGTTTTAAAGTTGTTTATTTAAAATATTATGCTTTAAGTTCCAGAAAATACACTCGTTTATAGAGGAAAATGTATTTATCACCTTGGTCCATAATATCTATGTTCCATTTTTTCAGTGAAAGTAGTAAAGCCTGAGATCACTAGGTAAATATTATTCGACGAGGACGAAATGTAAACAAGAAGCTCAACATTGACATTTAATATGGCCTTCAATTTAAAGGTGGGAACAGCATTATAATATTACCAAACGTGCTAAATTATGAACAAAAAGATATCACTAAGTCATTTAAAATAAAATTTAGAAAGAAATTAAAATTTAAACTTGTTTACATTTAGTCTATGGATCTTCTTATGTATCAATTGTGGTGTTTACGTATTAATGTTATAAAAGAAACGGAATATAATCGACATCATTTACATTTAAATTAATAAAAACATTAGATAAAAACAAGTCTTATAAAAACAATGTTTCTTTGTTTTATGCTCATTATACGTAAACACTACATCTGTCCTCACGAAGCAGACCAAAACCGTATTATAATAATCGCTACATAAGTATACCGACATATATGCAATTGGCATTAGATCGAAGCTACAAATAATAAAAGTTCTTAATCAGTATGTCCAAATGCTTAACCACTCTAAAAGTAAACATGCTAATACCTGACCAGAAACTGAAATCCGATAAGAAATACGGTTCTAATACATCTTATACTATTATTGCATGCTAAAACGTCATGGAACTTGCAATACAGTTATTTTGAAAGACGTCATATATACTACTATTCACGTACATGTTGCGAATAGTAAGGTTCCTTTTTTGTATAGTACTCTTTTAAAACTACACAACAAAATATAGCTCCCTTAGAGTTTATGAAGTGTTTACCTCTTCTGGAAGTTGTCATCACAGCTATGATTTGCAATATATTTCAAATTCAGGCATTCTCTTAGAGTGATTGCACGGTTGGTCACTCCTCCATATCTTTTTATAGTTTTATATTTTGTATTTTTTTTAGTGTTTTCACCATTGTCCTAAAGTATAAAGACGCAGCTTGGTCTATACCCCGCGAGGCCCAGGGTGCGGCCTAGGCGCGGTTATCGCTTAATTTGATTGGATATTTTCAGGAACTCGAGGTAGCCCTCTTGCATCTCCGCATCCATTCCTGTATCCCACGCTTCGTTCTCCAACTCCTCCCTATAAGTTTAGTAAATACTCTTTTCATATATAGGTATACCCTCTATAAGTAATTTCGGTTTATTATTGATTATTATTGCAGTTAATTTAATTTATATGGTAAAACAACCTCTGTGGGGTCAGCTAGTATATATATACATACATATATTAGAAACTAGCTGAGCCGACAGATGTCCCGGCTTAACTATAAATACTGAATTTATATAGGTATAATAATTAATAAAATAAAATTTTAAGCTTAAATTTGAATAAACTGAACTTACAGTATATCATCGTCTAGCGCATCGTTCTTGGGGATGAGCGGCAAGTTATTCTGTAGGAATGCTTGCTCTTCGGCCGTGAGGGTGTTACCATCCGCTAGATATCCACCCTCACCACTCGGACCTCCATCTGTTTAGCCATTTATCACATTCAATACATTGAAACACATTTCCCATTGACCCTTAAATAGTGTCAGAAGTAAAAAAATAAGTATAATTTCAGTGTAATTACAGTTTAAGAAAAGTGAGAAATTAAACTAAGATAACTGTTAAATACCACTTCTTCCTAATTTGGCTTTTTACTTCTGACACAATAGTTTTATTTTCAATAATATGATATCAAAAAATACATTTGTAAATCACCTTACGAATGTAAAGTAACAACCGAGTGTGTGAATACAAACAACCAACTAGTACTAATTCAATAAAGTTAAGTATACAAATAAAGAAAATATTAAATACACAACCAACTGGTCGAGTAAATAAGTCATAGCGATCAGAGCAGACCGGTCCCTGCAAGCAGCACTCGCCATAAGTATGGCTCGCAATATTTCAGAGCAGTACCTGGGAACCGGCGGCGGTCGCCGGGCGCGGCGGCGGGGTGCGCGTGCTCGGCGTGCTCGGCGTGCTCGGCGTGCTCGGGCTCGGCGAGACCCCAGCGAGCCGCGCGCAGCCCCAGCACGCCGCGCACGCAGCCCAGGTGCGCGCGCACCTTCAGCCGCTCGAACGCAGCCTGCATAGACGACGGACAGTCCGCGTCTAGCGCGATGCCCGACAGCTGCACACATATCACTCGTTATTTTACTTTCGAGGAATGTTTACTTACTATTCTGCTGCTTTTATTATTCGGATATCGACATATTATTAGGCCGAATGTCGAGTACTTATATAATATATTTTGTTCTAGGGAGATAATTAGTAAAATGAAAGAAATTATCTATTCATTAATATATTTATATACTTTTTTCTCCTATACTCATTAATTAGTACATAGTACTGGTACATAATCAATTAACTATAGCAAATGAGCGCGACACAATCAGATCGATGCAAATTTTGGCACCACATTGCGGCCAAATACATTTGCCTAATATTGAGCTATTCAGTTAAGCCTAGTCGATGACTAGGCAAATAAATATATTTAACATCATTAATCATTTATACTAAGTAAACTCAACTAAAAACAGTTTTTTTATCGGCCCTTTAAATTAAAGTGTAAATGATCTTATAATAATAATATAGATAGCCTAACTAATACTATTAATTATGAACCTTATGAACTATATATTTGACAAATGAAATTATACTTACTTTAAGTAGTTGACATACAGCTTTGATATTTGTTTCCTTGTCGGTATTTAACAGGTGCAGTAATACTTTACAGAGACTTTCACCTAGAGATTTAATTCTTCCTCCCTAAAATAATTATTTTAATTAAATAGGTTTTAATCATCTTGAAATTGATGGATCTGTAGCTATACTATATATATATTTATTACATTAAACAGTTATAAAAAATTAGTTTCATCTATTTTAAGTTCTTGACTTATTATATACAATCTTTATTATTTGCTTTAGATGTTCCTTAAGCAAGTTTTAAGTTAAATTTCATTATATGTACATATGTATTACACTTTACTGTCCCATACCTGGTTATCTTCCAATTGTGTGTATATTTCAGCAAGGAACATGGCAAATCCTCGCATATTTTCTTCTGAAGTCTCAACATGATTGATGATTTTATTCTCTTCAGCAGAGCATCTTTCTAACAAGCATGCCCGGAAGGTAGACTCCTCAGGGGGCGCAACTGAGTCGTACATCGAGCATAGTCGGGCACCGTTGTATCGGAAGTTTGCCTCGGCTATTGACTATAAAATCAATTGCAAATTTTAGGATTGGGGATACTTTGAACTAATCTGTTTTAAAAAGAACTGGTAGTTTTCCATTATTATTTGAATAATGTGATACAATGATTTTGTATAAATAAAACATATGTAATAAACTACTGTTACCTGATTTACAATAGCCTCTACCAGAGCCGTGGTATAATTTGTGTCATTTAAGGTTGGTGCAAATGAGTCCACCAGTGGACCGCATAGGGTATCAAACTTGCCTGGGTCAAATGTTATTTCACACATAACAGTGATTAAGTTCGCAATATTTTCCTGAGAGACAAAAATTTTGAATCAATAAAGAGTAAGGGAAATTAGTAGTTGTCAGGTAATTTCTGGTTTATTACAGAATTACAAACCAAAAATGACCTGTTAGCATACATACAAGTCTATCATAACATAAAACTTTATGCACTATGGTGGCGGCTTACCACTCTCCCTTAAGCATTGATACAAACATTTGCATTTATGAGTATTATTGTTTGCATTTCCTTATGTATGTTTTCTATCTATATATTATTATTAAAAGAATTGCATGTTACATTATATTATTTCTATATATTGTTTAGTTAAGAATTGTGTCTAGTGAATTTTACTTGTTATTTTAATTTAAATTAAAATATATTTACTCAAGAATGTCTACTACAGACAATTATAACAAGTCAAACAGTTCTTCAATGTCTGAGCCTGACAAGTGAACATAAAAAAAAACTCTGCTTTTACTTTTTTCAAATGATGTATATGACTACAAAAATACAGATTCATTTTTAAATTAAATTAGTGATAATGTAGAAACCACCAACATATGTTGTCAGAAAGAAATTGTTCTTTCTGCCATTAGCTCATTAGCCCATTTTTATATTACACTAACAACATACCCGAATGTCCATATTTTGAGCTTCCTTCAATGAGTATGCCATTTCATCAAACTCATAAGGTTTTTGATCTTGTGCCTGTCGTAGGCGATCTTGTACGGAAGAACGTGGAAGCCTATAGGGAACCGAGTCAGCTCCATATGAAGGCACAGCAGAAGGTGTATAATTGGGTGGATACCATTCTTTAGCCTCGGCTGATAGAGTAGATTTAGGAGGATCAGCTGAAAATAAGTAACTTTATTGAAATTTTTCTCTTAAAAGTATTAACCCAAAATTAAAATAGGTATTGGGCTATAATGAATAAAATTTTGAATTTTGAAATATCATCCTTCGCCATAGTCAATTTATTAACATGGTTAGTGGAAATGAAATGCTTACTTTCACATGAAGTATTATAATTAAGCAAAACGCATTTTAACTGGTCATGTATGACGACGTCACGTCGCATCGAATACGATAGGTGAAAGTATACATTACAATGAATAATGTTAATCAATAACTACCTTTTGGATCATCTGCAACGATCTTTGGCTGACGAAGCTCTCTTGGTGGGTTATTAGGCTGTTGCCATCCACGGCCCCTGCCTTTGGGTCCTCCAGAATCTCCGTTATTCATTTCATATAGTTCCGACAAAATCTAGGCGATGATATATTTGAGAAAATTCCATAAAATCAAAAAGTTTGCAATTGATTGTTACTCTGTCGTTCAATAAGTCCGACACGTAAACAAAGAAATAGACTTTCCAATTCAAGACAGCACCTCCATTTTACTTTTTTTTTATATGTATTGTATGTTAATAATTTTTATTTTATTTTCATATGGCAACTATTCTATTTTAATCCTATGTGGCAAGTGTCCAATTTCCGGCAAAGTGAAAATAAAAAAATAGCCAAGTTATAAAATATATAATAAAAAAATATATAAGTACCTTAAATTTCATTAAAATGCTTAATTAATTAAAGTTATTCATTAAATAATTTAGAAAACTTTGTAAATGTATACAAGTTACGATAAAAAGTTTAAAGATGTATTCAATGTTAGTTAAATTATTTCAAAATTTTATTCTAGATAGGTAATAATTCCAATAAATTAAATAACTCTTTAATTTGCTTTAACCACAGATCATAGAACAAGCAACATTTTTGTACTAGGTATAATAACACTACTATATGAGAAAAAGAAATAATTTGAAGAACCACAAATAATTCGTGGATTATTATTTATTAATTCTATTTGAGTTTCGCCATATCAAATGCCACTGTGACTGTAATTCCTAAAATTAGGATGTACTACCTAGCTTGGAGTCGGCCAGCAGAACATTGGCTCCAGCCAATGTTGTGCTGGCCGACTCCAGTTTCGGTAAAAACTACTAAAAACTATTCTCGGTTCGAGGTAGTAAAGATGTGCTAACATCTTTACTACTGACTACTACATAGGAAAAGTAATAAACTACTATATATATATACTATTGTTTTTTTTTTTTTCTTTGGCAAGAGGCTAGTGTTGCCTATTATGCCACTAAAAACAGGAAACGAGACGGGATATGGAAAGGAACGGGTCAAATTTTGAATATACTTGGTATTAGTGATCATGGGTTTTAAAGTTTAATGTTATTATGGGAAATAAAATACGCAAGAGATTTATAAATTATAGGACTAGGTTGAGCTAATAAGCATACAATGGATGAAGGAAAAGGAATTTCTAATGAGATGAGTGTCTCTATAAATGAAGAACGATAGCAAGAGGAGCAGGAAAACACAATGATTTAGATCACCCACATCTTCACATTCACAGATATTATTGTCTTTTATACGTAGTTTTGTTAAATGTTCAGGGCTGCAAACATGACCAATTCGCATACGAATCAAAACACTAGTTGATCTTTTATCAAGATGTAATTTGAAAAACCACGGTTTAAGAGGTATAAACGGTTGAACTAAACAGTACTGTTTCCCTTTAATTTTGCTACTTATTGTCTAATCTTGACTCCATGAGTATTCTAATGTTGTTGGATGTAGCTGGCCTTGACAGCTTCACCGAAATAGTTCGGGGCGAATGGAAATGCACTCCAAACCCGTAGGACTTATAGACCGCATACGTGGCTACAGATCAACACCTATTCGAGTACTTTTTTGTGATTTTTTTACATTTTCCGCGTCCACTCACTGGCGATTCGTAAATGTTGCAAACAAGGGATTTCTTCTTAGGCCCCGGCAATAATAATATACTAGGTACTTAAATATAACAAACATATGACAACAAATAATTACATATAACAGCCGTTAATTTAATGATAACATAATCTCAAACCAATATTGAGACATTTGTGACGAACGAAAATAATAAAATAAATATAATCGGAAAACTTCGTGTCATTGTCGGTTTTATTCGCTTGATGCAATGGCGGGAGTACCTACTAACGTACGAACCCAACAATCGAATCCCGGCCCCTCCGATCAATCCCCCATCTAATTTAAACGGGATTAAAAAAAAACTCGAGTTGGTAGTCAATAGCACTCGTTCTAATCTTTAGGGCAGGGGGAAGGGAATTGTTAGTAATGTGGACTAATAATCCCATTGCTAGCAATGTACCATATCAGATCAACCTCCACGCGGTTCCCCCTGGAAACCATCGGGATACATTCCCTGTGAATTTGTCTCGTTGGGCTAACTGATCTGACTTCATGACATCCTATCATCCTCCACTGGTGCCCCGCCAGCGTAAACCGTTAGCGCAGGTGGGTGCACCACTCCATTATCATCCTTTAAAAAAAAAAAAAAAAAAATCTTTAGGGCAGGGAATTATGTTTCTAATAAAATTAGGTCCTGTATTTGATATTTTAGACTAAAGGAAGCAACATTTTCAAGTACTATCATTATTATTACATACTATAAAACAAAGTAGCAACGAACCGTGCGAAGCCGGGGCGACTAGCTAGTATAGTATAAAAATAATATGTTTCCACAAAGAGTAATTAGAAGTAGAATTTATTATTACTTTTTATAATAACTACCTTTCCCATATCATGATGTCCATAATGTCTGTCTGATATGAATAGGTAGGTCTGCACTAATTATCATTATTTTTATAAATTCAAGTGGTGAACAAAACAAACTTTATATACAAATTAACACATTAAGTATGAGCCATAGTTTTCATGTAAAGCCTTAAGTCACCTGCTTTTAGTACAAAAATGTACAATAAATTAGTAAATAATAAACAACTACATTTTCAAATATAATTAAGCACACAATACTAATTAATTATTTAACATTCTATACAAAAATACTCTATAATTACAGAGATTAACACAACTCTATATACAGCAACACAGACAAAAACAATATTATTTTTATTCTAATAAAATCTAACATTTTGAACTTTCTTTTTTGACATTATTATAATACATGTTTTGTCACCAAGAAAAATAAAGTTTAGCATTGCATGTAATCTAAAGTGTACATAATTTAGATTTTAATATATATAGATTTTAACATTAGAAAATTTAAATTGGTATCACATTTATACTAATTATATTGTGCTATATATTGCTTCTTTCTGTTAAAATATATATGAGGTGACATAATAGTGTATAAATTTTATATGAAAAGTAATTTAAGATTCTCTTGACTCGACTACCTGTGCCATGTCTTAGCATGGAGAAAAATATTTTTTAAAGATCAACTTTTTCAATTTTTATATACTAAATGATTCTCCACAACCACATGTTCCTTTTATATTTGGATTATTGAATACAAATTCTGCAGATAGTTTGTCCTGAACAAAATCCATTTCAGTGCCTGTAACAAATAAAATTCAATAAAAACAGTTTCTTATGTGATGAATATATAATAATGATGCACCAGTCAGCACTTTGCTGTGCTACAAACTGTTGGGCAAACACCAGTGGAGAATTGGAAAATTGGGATAGATATTGTGGGGTAACAATGATGCTGAACTAGTAGCCTCTTTTACTACCAATAGCCTCCACTCTATCAGTTAGTGAGTTAACTTTACAAGAAATAATAGCCTTATAAATCTTATAATAATTACTCGTAACTACTTACCTAATAGTGTTAGCTGAGCTTTCTTGTCTATTATAATAGTAATGCCATCTTGTTTCACCTCCTCATCTAACTTGTCTTTAGTTTTTGCATAATCTAATGTATAAGATAAGCCGTTACACCCCCTTTGTCGTACACCTACTTTTAATCCAACATAGCCTTTAGCTTCTTCCTTCGACATGATCTCTTTTACTTTATTTACGGCTGAAGGCGTGAGGACTAGGGCAGCCCTCATAGGGAGGACTCGCTTTTTTACAGCCCTCACTGTTGCACTTGCGATGGTTTTCGTTGCCATCTGCAATTAAATATAAAAGAAACCTACGTAAAACAATGTTGTGGTAATTACGACTCAAGTTCACAAACTGTTGATGTAATTTCTTTAAGTTATTATTATTAGAGAAATATATTTTTATTTCCTAATCATGAGTTTAGATTTATTACCTAAAAGATTATTATATTTTAAATATATTCGTAGATTTCATAACAAGAAAAGGAAATATTTAGAAATTTTCACTTTGACAATTTAGACATCGAACTTCAGATTTTTACATTCATATATAATCCCTGAAGTCAATGTCAAACTGTCAAAAACATGTGTGTTTTGGCCAGAGATCTGTCATTTGCGTTTATACGCTACGATTTATATTAATTTAATATTTTTTTTTGTAAAAGGCAAACATTTTCAGAAACTTATAATTATATATAACTATACGTATAAATACACTTTTAATTTCATATTAACAGCAAATTCATAAAAATCAATACTTTATTCTCTATCTAAGGCGTAAAAGACATAACGTGCGTGCTTGCTGCTAGACATGCAATATCTAAACGCTATATTTTCAAAAATGACACGTCTTCTATAGTGCCTGACTACTTGCGTCGTGTAATGATTTTCTTTATTAAAAATTAAAAATGGGCGGCCAAAAATTTGAATATGATGAAAGTGGATCTACTTTCTTTTATTTTGTTTTATCATTTCTGGCCCTAATATTGGTGCCCACTACTTTTTATTATTGGCCAAGGAAAAGGAAAGAAGGTAAATTTTGTCTCGTTTTCCTACAGAAAGTTGAATGTATCATGTTAGTGTTTATATTTCTGTATTAAATATCTTGTGCAAAAATGTAGTATACTATAGAAAAAAATATTTTTTTACTTAACCGCTCCCTTTTAGCGTATCGTATTTAGATACATATTGACGAATCACAGAGCGTCATTACTTAGCATTCCACTTTCCTAATTTGTCATACACTCTAGGTACGTGATAATAATATTAATTTGGTTTTTTAGATCCAGCGAAAAAAGCGGAATTATGCCAGTGTCCAAACTGTGTAAAGAAACAGCAAATTATAGAACAATCACAACCCTATAAGGGTGTAAAAAATTTCTTTATAAAGATAGCTATCGTGTTAGGATGGGTGCTACTTGGATTTTTAGCTTACAAAGTATCTCAGTTTGATTACGAGATGTCTAACTTTGATCCATATGAAATATTGGGGTTACCTCCAGGCGCAACACAAGCAGAAATTAAAAAATCATACCGCAAACAGTCATTAATACTTCATCCCGATAAGGAAACTGGTGATGAAAAAGCCTTTATGAAATTAACTAAAGCTTATCAGGTACAAAATATGTTTCACAATTCTAATTATTTATTCATTCAAAATATTTTTCTTTTCAAATTACAATATCATAGGAAGGGAAGGGATGTACATCCACATTTAAAATTTAAATATAAGATTATAATTATAATTTTACACTAATATTGTTACTATAATGTGATAAGCTTCATGCTATTTGGTCAACAAAATGTCAGTTAATATATCATTGATAGCTTTTACATAGATATATTGTAATTATTAAACTGTGCTATATACAGTATTATACTATTATATATATACTAATACATAGCTATACTTACTAATCACACAAATGTAAACATGCATCTATGTCTCTATTTGTTACCATTTCATGACTAAACACAGAAATTATAAAAAAATATTTATAAATCAAACACTGTATTTTATCTAAAAACACAGTCAAAAGGTATAGTATATAGCCAATGTTTTATAGTAGAATTATTAACTTTACTTCCAGGCTTTAACAGATGATGAGGCAAGGCGTAATTTTGAAAAGTATGGAAATCCTGATGGTCCAGGTGCTATGAGCTTTGGTATAGCCTTGCCTAGTTGGATAGTTGAGAAAGAAAATAGTGTTTGGGTGCTTGGTCTATATGCTCTAGTGTTTATGGTGGCCTTACCAACAGCTGTAAGTTTAAAAAACCTTTTACTATTGAAAATTGTTATGTTGTCATTCAATCTTTTTAAATAAAATTCATTAATGTCATATAGTGTCCTGTACTGTAACAAGTAACATATATATTTCTTTATACTATTTAATACTAATTATCTCGTATTCGTGAATATATGGTATTTGAATACAAATAATATCCACAGATATTATTTAGTATTTATATGGCTTGACTCGACTTTGTATCCTCACTCCCTCATTATACATTTCACCCTAGAGTCTATAAAACTCTAAAAAAAATCTTCTGTCTCTTATCATTACAAATATAAAAATTATGCTTAGTAGTAGGTACAATAATGAATCAAATAAAACAGATAATTTTTTTTAAGTAAATATCAAATAGTGTATATTTACTACTGAAATTAAAGGTATTATCAATCAAATAACATTGTAAGGGATAGCACGCTTTTACAATAACTTAATTGCTATTTTAATAGAGACTTTATATGTATATAGACAATTACTTGCCAGCTATATTACTGTTAGTATGTATTATTATGTAAAAATCTATATTATTTTGCAGGTTGGCACATGGTGGTATAGATCTATTCGGTTTTCAGGCGAGCAAGTTTTACTAGATACAACCCAGATGTATTTTTATTTTTGTCACAAAACACCATCTATGCCACTGAAGAGAGCTCTCATGATACTTGCTGCATCTTGTGAGTTTGATCGCAAACATAATTCTGAGGTTATTGAGAGAATAACTGATAATGAAGAAGTTCCAATGGTAATGCTCATTATATTTATAATATATTACTTACCACTAGTCTAAGTGAGGAAAGTTTTAGAATAATAATATAGTCCTAGAACCAGTTGTTGTTGTTCTGGACACATGTCATTGTACTTGACAATGGCACAGAGTAAAAGACAGTAACAAATTATACAAATAAGTGGGACTTTTCTAATTATAGATGTTACTACAACTACTAATTACGTTGACACATGTTGGCGGCAGTTACAGGTAGTTGACGGTTTTCGCTAAAAGTTATTGGATGATGTTAAATGGTTGATGATGATGATCATTGAAGGTTGGCAGGTGGTAACGTTGCGTGATTTATTTTTTATCACACCTGGCGTGTGATAATAGTAGTATAGATAAACCAGACTGTAAATCACAATGTTTTTTAAGAAATGCTGGAAATTTGAAATTTACTGCGAATTAATAAAAAAATATAGCATACCTAATAATATTTAGTTCCAGTATGCTGGTTATATCGTTATTTTCTAAATACATATATGTAATGAGTAAACAAAAAGACTATAAGTATATATATTTACAACATAAGGGTACTTTTACTGTTTTCAGAGATAATAAAAAAATCTTATATATTTATTGGAATTATAGTTGGACTATGTATAGTGGTTTTACTTTATACATACAGTGTATATACCCTCTCTTTAAACGGCCGAAATTTTCATCTGATATACATTCAGGAATTACTTTGCAGTTACTTCGCGAATTACCAAACCTAGGCGAGAAGAATAAAGAGCAGCCACTCTGCAGACCATACAGTATTAAGGCTCGTGCTCTTCTCCACGCTCACTTGTCCCGGATGAAGTTGCCGCCCAATACACTGGAGTGCGACCGACGATATGTGGTGTCCCGTTGCCCTGACCTCATCGTCGAGATGGTCAACTGCGTCAATCAGCTTATAGCTCTCGCATACGCCGGAAGAAGTTGGTTTCAATTTATTTTTTAATTTTACTCTGTTATTTTATAAAATAATTGCCTTACAAATAAAACAACTTACTGGGTTTTCAATGCAACATTTCCACACAACAAAATAAGTTCCAAATTTGACACTTATAAATTTAGCAAGTATGTTGTCATTTGGGTAGAATGAATTTCATCTTATATCTACATATATAGTAAATATACATACATCTTATATCTACATATATAGTAAATATATATGTAGATATATATATTGACAACATACTAAATTTATAAGTGTGTTATTTTGTTGTTGTGTTATGATAGATGTATATATATTAACAATTTAATATTCATCATTGCTGATTACAATGTGACATTACTATTAAAATGTTGACATAAATGTTAAATTTTAGTACCTCGACTACCAACAATTGAAACAATTGAAAATTGCATGAAACTGTCCCCAATGACAGTACAAGGACTATGGGAGTACAAGTCTCCCTTGCTGCAGTTACCATATATCACAGAAGACCATTTGAAACACTTCACAAATCGCAAGAAGCACATCAAATCATTACTCCAATTAGCTCAGTTGCCTGGTGAAGACAGAAGACAAGTACTGAGATTCCTTAATGATAAGCAATATGATGACCTAATGAAAGTTTTAGGCAACATGCCTTATATTCATTTTCAAGTAAACACAGAAGGTAATCCTATAATATTATAAATATTCAAATTGTTACATTAATGATATTATAACATTATACCAGAAAAAATTTTTATAGAGATTCTTTGTCTGATTAACTCCTATAGCAAATTTTTCGAGGTTGTGGAATTTCTGTGTATTAAGGTATAATATCTTAGCCCATTTGAATAAAAATATGTGTAGAGTTTAAAGAGCTACATAATAAATGTATACTGCAATGTAGTTTATGACTAGTTATATACCATCATTCATAAGATGAGCCTCATGCTTTTTTCTTGTTTATTTATGTAATTTAATATAATCAATTATCTTGAATAAATAATACCATTTATATATATAATATTATGTTTTAGTATGACAGTTTTTATATTTGATTGTAGTAATTGATGATGAAAATTCAACTGTGGTGACAGCCGGCGCGATTGTGACCGTTACTGTACTTCTACGTCGAACCAATATGAAAGAACTCTTTGGAGACACCACAATAAAAGAAAAAGGTATCAAGTAAGTAAAAGCATATTAATACATATTCTTACAATTTTTTATTTTTGAATAAGACAACAACATTTAATTGGTTTCCTAAATGTCGCATATTTTTAAATTATCGATAAATCTGTACCTATCAATTATTAGGTGATCTGGACAAATTAACAAATTGTGTATATACACATGATTTGTATTCAAAATGGAGTAGTCATGATGAACAGAGGTAATGCGAAAAATATAAGTATTAATCGTTTTGTCATTTTCAATGCTTACTTTTTTGTCAGAGAAGATGAAGAAGCTTCCGGTGAGAATGGAGAAAAAGGGGACAATGACAAAAACGATAAAACTGATAAAAAAGAAACATTCAAACGGCCCGTGTGGATGAAACAGACAAAGAAACACGCACCGCCCAAGAAAAGTAAAAAACCAGCGGCTAATAAACAACAGGCAAAACCAGCAGCAGTGAATTCAACGCCACCGCCGCCCAGTAGTGACGTCAAGAAACCTAAACAACCAAAGAAGAGAGAAGAAGAAGGTATTATTTGTTGACAATATAATTAGTGCTAATTATCATATTAATCTTTCACATCGTAATGTCGGCGTACAATGACAAAATTTACTAGATACCAATAAAAATTTCACAGGTAGTGTAATGTTGACACAGTTTCATAATCCTTACGGGACAACACCGCTCGATTTCTTATTGATCCCTACGACCCAATAACGGCAGCTAACCTACCTATGGGTCGACCCGTTCCGTCCCCACTACGCTATTATACGTTACGACACTATACTCGCCGACGAAGACTATAACCTCAACTACATTATCACCTCATCGGGCGTAATGCGTCCCCGGGTGCTCCACACCGGCGCCCCCGGTCGCTCTTCTTACGATAGCTAAACCAAGGTTCGAAAATCTAATGGTGCCCTCAGACTGAAGTCGCATCCGTCAGACAGGTGTTGGTCTTCAATCGGCCCATAATTTCGTTCGGTCACGATGCAGTCAACAGAGTAATTCGAAAAAAAAAGAAACAATTTCACAAACAATTATAGTGTTGTGATAAAGGAGTTTAATTGTTATTTTATGAATAGTTAAATTTACTAAATAATAATATGATGATGTTGATAGATTTCATCGTACTCTTGTCATAGGCATGGCACTGACTGTGGAGAGATCAGAGATTGTATTGATTACCTTACGCATCACTGATACATCAGAATTTCTGTTTTGTTGTTTCTTCCAAAATACACTACCAGCTGAACAATCACGATCAGTAATTTACATTTTATATGTATTACTTATTTTAGATGGTGAATATATCATGTGTGGTGTTGGAACAACGAATATTTTTCGGTTGTTTCTCATAAACAATAATTTTATTCCATATTTTTCATTATACCTATTGTGTAGAATGTTGATATCTTATCTATTCTTTAAAATTATATAGAGACAAATTACTTTTTCTTTACGTCAATTACTCCTAATTTTTTATAATCTATTTTAAGTACGATATTTAAAATCACTTCGTGATTTAATAATTCCTAACAAATATTTGGACATGTAAGTGTAGTAAGTAGTTTCACTATACTAAATTATATATTTTGTTCACAGGCGAAGAATCGGACGTCGGTAGTTCAGACGGTGAATCCGGATCACATAGTTCCGCGTCCGAAGATGAGTCCCGTGAGAAGTCGTCCGCCGCGGAAGATGATGACGACCAATGGGACAAGTTCCAAAAGCGACTGCAAAAACGCGAGCGGCTTGAGGGACGTTCCAAGAGTTCCCATCCAGTCCATTGTCCATACTTCCCACAGGTAACAATTAGAGATAATCTTATTTTACATTTCATACACTCTTCGTAATTTTTAATGACATTAATTTCATGTAGTGTTATGCAACCATTTTGTTTTATACCACAATGATGGCAAACGGGAATACTATGACGAATTATTGTAGTTTATGGATGTCTGAAATAGCCGGGGTGAGAAGCGCGTGTTACCGACCCATATAAAACTTTAATATACCGTTTTATAAAAACCCCATGCTGTAGTCTCTAAAATTTAAGCGAGTTGGTTTTTACAATCTGAGTGTGGTCTGGAGGATATTTCTCTAAAACCACACAGGTCGGCAATTTAATGAAGATATTAATTTAAAAATTCACCATGACTTAATACAGAATTTAATCGATATCTAACAATGTATAAAGCTGTACTTAAAATTAAAACAAACATATTAAAATAAACATATCTAACTCATAAACTAGAGTGGAATGGATTCCACGTTTGGTTGTTACTACTGAAGAAACTTGAACTACTATAAATTATTGAAATTGGTACGACATAATTTATGGATGGTCCCTATTAACAATGATGACTTCTTAACTTTCGTAAGCATTAATATATTCTTCTGATTGTACACAAGTCAATTTATATAGTTGTTCAATTATATGTATATGTTTATTAGCCCTTGAGCTCAGCACTAAACAATTAACACGAGTCAATAAGGAAAACGGTTCAATACCATTTTTGTTTATAAGGTTCAAATATATCAAGGATGGAAGTAGGTACTTGGAATATTCCGTATTTGTAAAGGTTATGGCATGGCTTTGTTGTCTGTCTGGATGTCACTTTTTACAATGATCAATTGAATTCTATTACTTTATGAAATTTAGATTCAGTTTTTGAAGAAGCTTATTCGTGTTTATTTCTTTGGTAACAGCTGTATATTTCAGTCTTTAATGTGTGATATAACATAAAATGCGAAACTAATATGAAAGATAAAGGTTGTCCATCAAGTCCATCAGGTGATAAATTTTTTGTAATTATTTCATTTTTATTAATTTAATTATTTCATTTTTCATATTTCAATCTCTAATGTGCGATAAACTACGAAAATAACAGTAAAGAGGGGTTAAAGAGGGTTGGAACACAGAAAATTAGTCCTTCGAGTGATATTTTTTTTAAATTATTCTACTGCCCGCATCGATCACGTAACAGATTCGGATCTGGTAAATTTCACAGACATTCGTTTTGTGAAAACTTCAGAAGATCTGCTCCCATCTCACAACATTATCGTTCTCGTAACATTTTATATTTTTATACCATCCGGTTTCAGCAGTGGATTGTTTGTTAATTAAACAAACGTATCCTACGTACCAAAAACGAACATTATAGTTAAATACATAATAATTGAATAAATGATTTTCGAACAGGAAAATAAATAACCTTACATTATATTTTTAGTTAATTTTCAGAACTTGACTTACAGAATATTATAAATTACTGTTGTTATGTAATCTAAACTAATGAATGCAAATGCATCTATCAGACCCTGACTCCTGAACCATTGGGAAGCTGATTCCCAAATTTAGGAACACAAATTCCCAAATTGACACATACCACATGAATTCTATGTACTCAACTTAGGTTAAGTTGAGACATTAGGAGTCATATGGTTCTCATTGGGTTTGTTATAATTTTCTTGACAATTTGTTATAATTTTCTTGACAATTAGCATCATTATTAGACCAGTTCTACGTAATTAATTATGCAGGGACGAAGAGGATTGTGAGTCATGTGGACTATTCACCCCTTTACTAGCAACAGGCTCACCTCCACTATTCCCCTATATATATATATATATAATATAGCCCCTGTAAACCATTGTGTTATTTTCGTGGTAAATTTGTCATGTTCATTTTATCATCGTCCATTGATGCCCAGTCAGTGTAAACGGTAAGCGTAGACGGGTGCACCATTCCATTACAATTATAATACATTAAAAAATATCATATAAATCAATTAAGTCTCGGCTTTTTTCCAATTCTATGCATTTGTTTATCACAATACGTATATACGATATTTTTTTGTATAATATAATATTGTTTTTCAAAATTCCAATCAGTATTGTTTCTTGTGATGATAAGATACAAATACGAATTAATGTAACATTTATTTATATCGTTTACGTAACATCAGCATTTAAATCGTGATGTCCTAATTTGTTAATGGGTTTCGTAGCATGGGGAATTATATACGATATATACGAACTTATGTTTTTTTTACATTACCTGAAAGCGTCATGTCGTGGCCTAGTGGTTTACTGCCCCGAATTATACCCAAAAGGTCGTAACTCTAAACCTGGCCGACACCATAAGAATACTTTGTGTGGCCATTAATATTTTTGACTAACTCTCCGGTGAAGCAAACACCGATAACAAAACTAAATAAATTAGTCGAAACAAGAGTCAGCGGTAAGCTCTCTTCCTGCCACGTTGAATTCAAATATATCAAGCGAAATGTTGGGAGTATAGCGTTGCGTTCACCACCATCGATTATTGACAATGCCTCTTTACTACCTCATGCAAGATAACGGTCGGGGTATATCTTTTACATTACTTAATGACTTAAAATATTACCCAAATATACCAAAATAATTATGAGTATTAAGATTTTAATGTCCTCTTTCTAGAAGCAATAAAATTACATTATACTAGCATTGTACACGTGACTTCGTCCGCGTGGAATTTAACATTAATTTTCTTAAATAAAAGTAGCTTCTAAAATAGAAGTTACTACTTATTACATTAGCTACCTGCCAAAAAAAGTCCCGTCGAAATCGGTACAGTAATTTCAGAGATTAACCGGTGTATGTACCGTATTTATATTCATATGCAAGTAGTAAAAAACGGTTATTTCAATATTAAAAACAGGCACTCCAATTTTATTTACATGTATTATATGTATAGATAATAGCTAGTGATAGTGACTCATGGTAGATTAAGAATATTGATGTGGAAATACGCGCCTGACCATGATTCACGTAATAATATTATATAGAGAGATATATGTACAGGATATATCCTATACATAGGGATTAATCATGGCTACGCAGACAACATTCAAGGCAGAAGCTAGTTTTCTATGGTCTGCAATCATCACATCAAAGATATTTTAATATAATTTAATACAAATCGTTAATTTATTATGTCCATGCAAAGACCATCGTGTAACCCGTTCGAAATACGATGTGTCTTGTCCAATTTGTAATTCGATGCACGTGACTCGGTTGTTATTGTTACTATTAATTATCATTGATTTGCTAGTTTTATAGCAACATCTGATTCGATTGTCTTATTTGATATATGTCACTATTCCCAGAAAGTAGTTGTTTGAGATGCATATCAGTTTAGGATTTCTTGTATGGATCGTTTGATAAACGCATTAGGAAGATGACAATTAAGACGTAAGAAGATTCCGTTGCTCGGTATGTAGAGGTGTGGATATAAATTAGTATAAGAATATGGAAACTAGCATATTTAAATTATATAACAGTAAGTTGGTATGACTGCTCTTAAATGATTATTATTTGAATATATTTTTTTTATTGGTAAATACGTTAAAAATATTATCCTGTTTTAGTTTAGTTGTTGTTATTAAAATAAATAATTATTTCCGCTTATAACGTTTTAATAAAACCACAGAGACGATAAATATATGATTGAAACAACTTCATTAGAACAAATATATCAAGAGAAGCATTGAAACTACTTTTAATACAATTAAATTTACCAGCCAAGTGACGTTAACAAGTATGGCAAATGTTTATTTTAAACAGTAACAGATATTAAGAAAACAGGAGATCTTAACTTGTATTCATACATTTATGAGTAATGCTATACAGGTAATGTATATCATTACTTTAATACATAAATGTATTAAAGGTCATCTATAAAAGACGTCACACCAATTTCGTTGTTTTTGAACCTACGTGTGACTTTGACAAGAACAGAGGAAGCCGTTCTTGCCGGAACAATTTCACACTTTGTCAACTGGATTCTCTCCATGTGACACAATTTATGGACGACCTCATGGTGATGGTTCTAAAATACTTTACCACATATTTTTCTTAATTTTCTTTGATTACTTTGTTCCTGTAACATTATATACATTTTCTGTACCAATAATATCGTGACAACATTCTGAAAATAACTTTGACTTGCATAAAATTACTCGTATTTAAATATTTAATTCAACTGTTAATATAATAGCCACTACTATATGCATTTTGTAAATAAGAATTTAGAAAGAAATAACTAAATAATAGTACCAATAGCAATGTCGTATGAATTTTTATAACATGTCTTTTATTAAAAAAACAATTCAAATTAGACGTAGTAACAATACAAATTAGTAGATTTGTCGAAATGTACAATATATATACTACATAATATATATACTAACTGACCCAGCAAACTTTGTTTTGCCCCTTAAAATAGATGGATAGGTAGGTCATCCTTATCATCAGGGGTATCTATAACAACCCGAGAGAGGTATGTAAATGTATATGAGAATACATTTACATACCTCTCTCGACATGTCGACTAGGTTGCGCTAACCGTGGTCACGAGCTGACTGAAAACCATTTCACTATATTAATAGTGTGTACTTAAAGCGAAACTTTCAATAAAAACCTACTAAATATACACCAAATATTGCATTTAATTCGGCCAAGCAATTTCATATAACAGACACTGACACGAGTTTAGGTTTAAGTAATCAATTTTCAATTTACGAATTTATAAATTGAGGTAAATCCTTAATACTATGTATTATTATTTTGATGGACTAAAATCTAGCCTGTTTAATAGGAGAAGCAGGAGTTCTGGTGGTGTTACATCTGCGACCGCAAGTCTCACACGCTGCTGACGGCGCCGGCGCACGTGACCGCGTTGGTTGACACCCACGAACTCCAACTGCGGTTCACGGCGCCCCGCTGGCCCGGTCTCTACACACTCGCCTGTTGTTTGCGATCAGGTAATTCACTCCACAATTCTTTTCTATTTTTATATATAAAAAAATAAATTTTGTTTTTGCTCACGACTTCATTAGCGTGTCATATGTAACGACGCAACGCCATGTATTCCTAATCTAAGCAGATCATATACTAAGGATACTACGCAACTGATGCACATACTCAAGTACAGTATAGAATACAGTACAGGAAAACACCTAGCTTATAAAACAACTATTTTGTCACCTAGATTCGTATATCGGCATGGATCAACAACAAGACATGAAGGTAGACGTGAAGGAGGCGGCCGCAGTGCCCGCTGAACATCCACAATGGGACCTCAGCGACTCTGATACAGACAACAATGATCAGGTCAGTAAAATATATTAATGAAGAAGGTAGAAAGATGCAGCAAAAGAGGAGTGGTCAATGTCCAAATTGACCACATACACACACGTTATGTACTGTTTAAGGGAAGGAATCACGATTATCTGAAATCAGCGGTTTGTATGAGTTATGAATGGGGTATAAGAAGAGTTGTATGAGTTGATAGTTGATGACCTACTGCCTTCTTGCCTACAGTTCCAACAGCAAAATATACACTAGATAATTTTAGCAAACCTAACGTGTAAATAATTACACAACACATTAAATGAATTATATAAAAGAAATTAGGAACATGCTCCATTCTAGTAGAGCATTATGATTCGGTGCACTTGATTTTCCGGTTATTGTTCAGCGAGGGTTTTAGGATAGAATTAGATAAGGAAACAATAATATTTTTGTTTATTATTATAGAATGCAACTGCAGTACTACAAAATGCAGTTTATCATATCTATAGATAGCTGTCTTAGTCTATTTATCTAAATATTTTTTTATGTATGAAATAAAATCCATATTATGAGCTGAACTAAATGATATACAGTCTCATGACGTGTAGTGCAATCATAAGATGGAATTTATATTTCGGAATACAATACGTGATTCTGAGCGTATATTGAAATGAACAGAAATATTAAATAATGATATAAAAGCATCAAAGCATCTAGAAACTTATCAGCGATTCCGTAATTAATTTACATTTTATAACTGTTTAGTCTTTATAGGATTCAATTCGTTGGAAAAAAGTGAATGTTATAATTTGAATAAAAACAATAAAACGATGATTTTATTGAACACACCGATTAGATATGACTGTTTCGTGTGGAGAATGTTTTAAAGATTATTATTATTTTAAAAAAATACAAATTAGTAGACCGCATCAATTTTGCCCATGCCCATCAAAAATCCACTCTACAAGTTATAGTAAAATTATTACAATAATAATAACCCCGGACATTAATATATGGAGTCATCCAGAAACAAACTAAGCAATGCCTATACTGTGAGTACTAAATGACTGTAGTAAAGTTGTAAAACAGTATATGTTGAATAAATATTTGATGGTGTGTTGGCAACGCCAGACAGAAACCAATATTATAAATAAAAAAGAGTTTCTCGACATATAATCATGAAGAAAAAAATATTTGCAGTGTATGTGTAGTTTTAATCATTATACTTACAAACTCGCGTATATCTAGACTAAATTGTTGCACCGCCCATCAATTTGTTATATTACACGCATCAATCTCCTCTTTACTTTTATCTATTTAGATAAGAGGAAAAATCAACAGGCTTGGTATTGAAACCTGTATTTTACTTGTTAGGGCCATAGGATCCCTTTTATTTAATTCACAATATACAACCTATACCTTAACATGTTTAAGTCGTTTCATTAGTTTCTCTATATTCAATAATACCTATATGTATTTATATCTATCGTAGTATAGAAATTTTAAATTCTGAACGGATTAAATTGAAATCTGGGACGCAGTAACCCCACGCGGTATATACACACATATAACATATAAATCAGCTGTAAAATAAAGACAATAGATTTGGCGAAATCACTACTTTTATAATTTTTCACATACCACACATCAACATTCTGTAATAACATTTTTTTAAATGTTTGATTGTATGGTGAACCCGAATGCGCTAGCGGTTCGCTGGCAGGGCACCAGTGATAAGATGAACATGAGGTAAGGTCACTTAGTCCATCATAACATGTTCACCAGAAAATTATCAGGATGGTTTCCAGGGGTAAACCGCGTGGAGCAACCTGACACGGTATACTTCTAGGAATTGTAATAATTTATTAAAAACAATAGTTTCCTATTACGTTATGAAGCAGGTAATTTTGATAGTATACGACATGACCCCCTAGTTCTCAGAAAAGGCAATATACATTTGGTTGGTACTTTTAATCAGATTAGCCGTCACATTGTTTACTATTCTATTTATATGAAATTTGAATAATTTATTTTGTGTGCAGGGAGGCAACGAGAGTGAATTCACGACAGACGACGAAGCTGAAGAGGATTAGCAAAGTAATTAAGTTATTTTTATAGAGTTTATTATGGGGTATATGCGGCATAAGTTGTTGTATTGTATGAGAGCGAATGAATATAAAATTTTATATTCTACTCTTGTTTATTATTTAATCATCCCTAAATTATATTTATTTCAAAATATATCCTCACTCTCTCCAGCGTTGTCAATTTGAAATGCATACCTACATTTGAATATGAAGAGAACTCTCGTGAAATCGAGATGTCTGGTAACAATGGGTTGATGAGGGTATCGTCCTCCGGAGGCTACGGCGGCTCCTGCGGCCGGGCCGGAGGGCGAGGGCGAGGGGGATGGGTGTGGGTGTGGGGAGGCCGCGAGGGCAGGTCCGGGCGGCGGGGCCGCGCGGCGCTGGCGCGGGCGGACCATCAACTATCGAGTCGCACTCGCGCGCCACAGCTCGCAACAGTTCCACGATCGAACGACCGACGCCCGCGCCCGGTGTCGTATTACCGCTCTAAAAATACCCTGTGAGCGCGATCGCCAATTTAGAAACGGTCGCGCGCCGTGTTTTGAACCAGTGATTAACAGTGCCAATTGAAGAATAATACCTGAACCCTCCAGTTTACCGACCATCGACGTAAGTATATCTGATAATTCGCTGGTAGTCCACTTTGTTTATGCTGTTACCGCATCGCGGTTTTAAAATAAACAACTGTTCTTGGAATCGATAGCGCTGTTGAGCGCTAAATTGGGAATATGTATAGATAGTTAAGGTTTAAGAAATTTGAGATGAATAATTTTATAATCTTTGTATTAAATATAATATAGAAATAAATAAGTACAATGTTAATTACAAATATTTGACCTTATCTATTTCAGTCGCTTGTTGGTAGTTGTTATCAATTGCCTAGTTATTTTCAGAAAAATATTGTTATGGTTTAAAAATTGAGTTGCATATATATATAAATATAAATAACTATTTACATCGATTGTATTATAAGCAATTAATTCAATACGAATGTGGGGTGGACAGATACTGATATGTCTGTAGAATTGAAGTATAAAATAATGTTGACTAAAACATTAAATACAAATTACAGCATTTTACTCGGTAAAATATGTTAAGGCCGACAACATAAGAAAGTAAACAAAATATAGGTTAGTTAAACAGGCAATCCACGTTTCCACAGATATATAAATTTTGCTACTATAATGTAGACTTAGGTAGGTACCTAACATTACAATTACTGTTATTAATCAGTGTTGACCCGGTTTAAAAATAAGTAAACATTAGCTTTAGCATATGTAGGTAGTATTCTAATGCTCACTTGTGTTCAATGAATGAATTGGAAGGCGAGGTACCACATTCTGATCTAGACATAAACTGAACCTGGTCTTGGAACTTGGTCAATTGCATAAGCGCCAATAGTCGGCCGGTTGTCGTGGCCAGTGAATCAGTTTGTATTTTGTAAAATTCATGTTGTTGGCAACAACAATCGCAGTACTAATTGGCAATTACACAGGAGAAATTTACGAGGAAAAAATTTCGGCCCTCGCGCTTTATAAAAATCGTGATCACGTTAAACCTTGAAGATTATTCTGCTTTTTTGTCGGTTGTTTAGACCAGGATATTGTACACGCCGATGTGGCTTACAAACCTATAGACGTTAGGTCCATGATACTGAATCATCATGACAAATTCTGTTTAACTGCTAACAATAACTACTTATTTCATTTTTGTTATTGTAGTTGTAGTTCTTAGTAAAACACTAAATTCCAACGCACAGCAAAAAGTAGTTTATCATAGTACGCAGTGAATTAGTTACTACTTACAATTAGATATTTTTATTCTATGGGTATATGAAATGTCGCTGGTATAAGAACCACATCTACTCTTGTGAGGTATTAGGTATTTATTAATTAAACGTTTACATCTTTTAAACCGGTTCTAATATAAAGGTAAAATAAGTAACGACTTATTATTTGTGATACACTCTAGCTAAGTAAGTAAATAGAAAATTGTATCTTAGTATTTTTGACTGTGGATGCTTATATGTATATTAATTGTATTCCGAGTAGGTTGTATATAAATACACGTATGTACAGGAGATGTAAGTAACGGATATTTTAATACCTTACGCTACCAACTACGCTGTCAAGTGATCAATTTCGAATGAGAAGTTCAAAATTTATATTCAGATTTTGACTTTGTTTCTTGGTGAAAATGCTTGGTTTTATAATTACAGGGATATACATAAAGGATTAGATAATTTTACTACGTCAGCTAGTGAAACTATGTATAAATCGTAGATATAAAAACGCCACTGTGGTATTTTCACATCTCAAATAATATATTTATTCATAAAACAAATGTTACGCATCGGAAAATAAAAAATTCAAAAGAGTTTTTATGTGTCGTACAGAAACTTATTGAAGAATTCATTTAATAATTTTCTTAATAAGTAGGTCTACCCGACTACAGTGCTATAATTATCCAATTTTATGGTGCAAAGAAGTAGATACATTGGATGTATATATTCTCTAGTTACGATTGGTGATATCCAGCGTCTTGCCCACGGGCGCAGGCGGCCGGGCGGGCGCGCGATGAATTGAACAGGCGACTGATAGCGGGCCGGTTAGACGAGTCCCCAAGAGTGCAACGGCCCAAACTGAAGGGAATTTTAAAACGTTCATACTTACAAGTCCTCTGATTTAATTTTATATTTCAGGCTCAGTAAACATTGATTTGCATTGAACTTTCTTTGCATAAAACATAAGTAACAACACATAGTTCTGTTTACTGCTTAATTCGTGAAAATACAGGAAAACAACATTACCTAAATTATTTCAAGTTAAAATAAATATATCGTTTAACAAAGGATAGGTATACCATACTTATAAGGATATATATAGAAGTTGCGTGTATATAATTAGGTATAATAAGGAAAAAGAATATGCAAATTTCAGTGAATCCTTGTTTTCATAAACATTGTAAACGTCAACACACATCGATGGTACAGGTATCTATCTGCCTTCAGCAGTAGCTATAAATAATTGATAATGCGTTTCCTTGTTCTTTCTATTGCGTATTTAAAAGTCAATTACAGTGCTCACTTGCTTCATTAAGGAATTTAATAGTGTCAAGTTTATTGAGATGAGTAGTCTAGAATAAAACGTATAGTAGTATTGGTACTTGCTCAGTGCATAGTGTAACAAAATATGTCCACCTAGTTATTTCGCTCTATAATTTATAATGGTACCTATAGTATGACCATCAACACAGTTACGATCACATACTCGTATACAATTATCTTAATTTGTTCAGTTTTGAATAGCTTAAATACATACAAACCACCTCTGAATCGGTGCAGTTAGTTGAACAAATATATAAAATAAAATGGTTCATATTAAAGAATTCCATAAATGCACTAAATATATGTCTACTTGCATAATTCGTTTTTAATGCTTATCAATTCCTTTTAAAATAATTTGTTTTAGTGTTCTGTAGACGCACGAAGGTATGTAGGTTAAATAAATCAGTGGTATACTTATTGAATATTAAGGTGGGATCTGATACTACTATAAATTTACGACATAAATATAACTTGCATTAGGCGTTTAATGTATACTCGTAGGTAACATAAAACCAATAGCAGCTGCAAGTTTTTCCTGAATGATAAGTTCCATGTGTATGATGAAATCATCAGTTCAAACTATAAACATTCTTGTGGCCCATTTTAACGTTAAACGTTTATCCAACTTTAAATTGTGTCGTTTCTTAATTTTCGTATATCTTTTCCGCAAGAAAAATAAGTATAAGAAATTAGATACATACCTATGTTCAATATACATATATTCAAGCATGTACAATATATAGGGGACATAACCTCAGTTCATGCTTATACATATATGTCTTCTTTATGTCCTATCTAACAAAATAAGTGACTAATAAGTAGCGAGTCACCAATGACCGTACTGCAATTTATTAGAACAACGGCTTAAATATGTTCTGCCAGCTGATCCCGCGACTTCAGTACCGGGCGCCATCTTATTCGAAGTAACAGTATATAACTTTTTGTTTTTTAACGGATAGGAATTGAAATAAAATAATTTTAGGTGAAGCTTAATAATAACACATTAGTGAAAACCGCACCCAAATAGATTAAGCCATTTCTGAGACAGACGCGAACAAACGCTCTGACGAACAGACAAAAATTCTAGCAATTCTTGTTTCTATTATGTTAAATAAAGGTCCGCAATAATCTCCTTCATATACAGACAGCGATCAGTTAATATTTTATTATAAACTAGCTAGCCGCTCCGACTCTGCACGTGTGTATTATACATAATAATAATAATATTTATTGACACCAATTTACGTAGTTACAGATAGTTATTCTTCTTATAAATTATTACGTTTTTGTTAAATACGCATCATACCGAGAATTTACCAGTAGTATCTATCCTATTCCGAGCCTGTATCATAGATACTATTTTCTTCCAGTCCTTCACATATAAACCTTCCTTTTGAATCACTATCTGTTGCTAAAAACTGTATTTGAATCCGTTGCTTAATTATTACGTAGAATATAATATATAGATAGTGTCTCCTACAGTTTTTTAATAGTCACAGGTAGTATTTTTTTTTATTATTTACCACTTTCGAACAGAATGTGGTAAATAATAAAAGTAAGTAAGTTTAGTAATTTCACATATTAACAAAGAGTGAAGTAAGTACATATACCAGCATATTACTATCACAATGTAAATGTAATTTATTTTATTTTATAAAAGTGGGGAGCGATTTGAATCTTCTACGATTCTACTTAAGTGTGCTGTGTCTCTATATAACCACAGATTAGAGAAATAGAACCAAAAAGAACCCTACTTTCATTCTATTCCTCTTTGTCTTTAAGAAATCGCCAAGAAAGCTATAGTACCTACCACTACCCCTGAAACGCGCGGGTCTCTGAAATTTAATTACGTAAAACTTTTGTTCTATAATTTATTTGTTTGTAGGATTAAAGACGAACAAAATCGTATAAAATGTACATTAATAAAATAAGTACTTCAATAAGTCCGTAATAAGGTAATCGTTTTAATAATTATCATGAAGAGATGTAATAACGAACTGATAAGCAAACTGACATGTGCGCAATACGCATGCATTGCACGTAGACAGATGTGCACATAAACAATATTATGTGGGTGGATATAATCTACCCATTTGTCATCATGTTATTACCGTATGTGTTCTAGCATTATTTCTTAGCATATACATCCAGTTACTTACTAAATTAATTGCATGTAATACTGAAACTGGTTCAAGAGATGTTATTTCAATGGAAGTAACTCTATAAAATGATTATTTTATTGACATGGCCAGTGCCATATAATACCATAATCATGACAATCACAGCTGATATAAATTTCTTAAATTCATTTCCGTTACGAATGTGAACTATGATTACAAGATATGATACGTACATGGATCCTCCATGTGTGTATTGTGATTTAATAAATTTGCATATACAAGTGTGTGTTATAAATAAATAATTAATTGTACATTATAGATACTATCTATCACTTTGTGATGTCAATACAATGTACACCTACAATTATTGTATAAATCTACTT